CTGTCATTCTGCCAAATTCTAAAATAGATATGCTAGGCCTCACCATTTTCTCTAATATGTCATGGAAGCCACACTACCTCAACATTGCTAAACCTGCCTTCCGAAAGCTGAGAATGCTGTGCAGATGCCGTAGCTACTTTACTCCTGAGCAGTTGCTACAAGTATATAAAGGATTCATTCGTCCTAACTTGGAGTACTGTTATCATATCTGGGGTGGCTCTTCTTCTGTCCAACTGTTAGATAGGGTGGAATCAAAAGAATTTCGTCTTATTAACTCTCCTCCTTTAGTTGACAATCTTTCTTCCCTTTCTCTTTGCAGCAATGTTGCTTCACAGGTACTTTAATGGGCAATATTCGGTGGATTTGGCATCCTGTCTACCGCCGGCAAGGCCGTGGACTCGTAACACACGTCTTGCCCGCGGTGCCTACCATTACTCTGTGGATGTCGGTTACACTAGAGTAACCCGTTATAGTACATCCTTCTTTCCTCACACAGTCAAACTGTGGAACACTCTGTCTTCTTCTGTGTTTCAACAATCATACAATCTGTCTCACTTTAAAAAGATGGTTTTCCGGCATCTTCGTGGTGTAGATTAATATAACCTTTTCCCGGTGTGGGTCGATGACCTATGCCCGGATGGGCTATTCCCCGTAAAAAAAAGGAAAAATAATACAATCATAAATCTAAGCGAAAGTGTATATATATATATATATATACTAGCAGAATCGCCGCCCTCCGGGCGGCTCATCCGCTAGGCCACGGTAGGACGCCACCTTCCGGGAGGCTCCACATTGTCTCACTGTTCAGTTCCCAAAACGTCTTCCATCAATAGTTCATTAACGGTGTATGTAAGTTCCACCATGTTTTTAACTACAACGGTACAGCAAATTAATTTTTTTAGCATTAAACTGTTATTATTTTATTGTCTAATCATCACTTCATATAACACCACCAATCATCACTACATATAACATCATCCATCATCACTACATATAACACGATCCATCAACACTACATATAACACCATCCATCAACACTACATATAACACCACCCATCATCACTACATATAACATCATACATCATCACTACATATAGCACCATCCCTCAACACTACATATAACACCATCCATCAACACTACATATTACACCACCCATCATCACTACATATAACGTCATCCATCATCACTACATATAACACCATCCATCAACACTACATATAACACCATCCATCAACACTACATATAACACCACCCATCATCACTACATATAACATCATCCATCATCACTACATATAACACCATCCATCAACACTACATATAACACCATCCATCAACACTACATATAACACCACCCATCATCACTACATATAACATCATCCATCATCACTACATATAACATCATCCATCATCACTACATATAACACCACCCATCATCACAACATATAACATCATCCAACATCACTACATATAACACCATCCATCATCACTACATATAACACCACCCATCATCACTACATATAACATCATTCATAATCACTACATATAACACCATCCATCATCACTTTATATAACATCATCCATCATCACTACATATAACACCACCCATCATCACTACATATAACACCATCCATCATCATCACTACATATAACACCATCCATCATCACTTTATATAACACCATCCATCATCACTACATATAACACCATCCATCATCACTTTATATAACACCATCCATCATCACTACATATAACACCATCCATATACAGATCGGTAAAGTACTTTCCGAGATTCTCGTGTGGACACACACACAAACAAACAAACACACAGACATACTTCTTTATTTTATATATATATATATATATATATATATATATATATATATATATATATATATATATATATATATATATATATATATATATATATATATATATATATATATATATATATATATCATTAATTTATTTATTTATATATATATATATATATATATATATATATATATATATATATATATATATATATATATATATATATATATATATATATATATATATATATACATTAATTTATTTATTTTTATTTTTTTATAAAATCACACAGGGAAAAGGAAAACAATGGAGTACCTTAGCTTTCGTCTTTATTGAAGGCATCTTCAGAGGCAATTAAATTACATGGATGGAGAGATGATTAAATACACAGGGTGACCTTATTTAACATGAGGTCATGTCATAATCATGGTATCCACTAATCTGCACACCAACACCAACACACACGCAGAGGAGCTTACATAAGAACATAAGAAATTTAGGAGTCTGCAATAGGCCGATTGGCCTGTGCATGGCAGCTCCTGTCTAGAGTTACTACCACTCTCTATCATCCATGAATCTATCTCGCCTCCTTTTAAAACTTTTCAGCGTTCCAGCACTTACTACAAAGTTGCTAAGCTTGTTCCACTCGTCCACCACCCTATTTGTGAACCAGTTCCTTCCTATCTCCCTCCTAAACCTAAACTTTTCCAACTTAAATCCTGCTCGGATATTATAAGAACTTTGTCTATATCACCTTTATTGATTCCTTTCACCCACTTAAATACTTCTATCATATCTCCCCGCATGTTTAGTTTCATTGACCTATCTTGATATGGAAGGTTTCTAAGTCCCGGAATCATTTTCGTCATTCTTCGCTGCACCGACTCCAGTGAATTGATATCCATTCTTTAATATGGGCACCAGAACTGAACCGCATAATCGAGGTGCGGCCTGACTAGCACAAGATATAGTTGCCATAAGACCTCTGCACTCTTAATACTTACACTTCTAGATATAAAACCAAATACTCTGTTTGCCTTATTTCGAACATTAACGCACTGTTTTCTAGGCCGTAGGTCTGGGCTTACATGTACCCCTAAGTCCCTTTCACTTCTCTAGGTTGATGTTGTTAAGGCTGGATACATTGACATTATTTGTTCTTCCATTATTCAGTACGCTGCAATTGCTGGTGCTGAATTTCATTTGCCATTTTTCTGGCCATTCCTGCAGTTTATTTAAATCCTCCTGCAGTTCGTTTGCATCCTCGCCTGAATTAATCTGCCTCCCTATTTTGGGGGTCATCCGCAAACTTGCTTATGTCACTGCTGATCCCAGTATCTAGATCGTTTATGTAGATTATGAACAAGAGTGGGCCCAGTACTGACCACTGGGGAACCCCACTGATTACACAACCCCCATTCAGATTTAACACCATTTCATTGTCCTATCGGTGAGCCATGATTTTATCCAATTTAAAACTTTCCCATCGACACCATGAGCCTTAACTTTTCTCAGAAGCCTCTGATGCGGTACTCTGTCAAACGCTTTGCTAAAGTCTAAGTAAATAACATCGTAATTTTTGTCATTATCTACTACCTCGAAAACTTTCCTAAAAAACGTCAGCAGATCTGTTAGACAAGATTTTCCCTTTGTAAACCCATGTTTAGAGTCATAGATTCATTTGCTTTTCTCTAAATGCGATTGGAATGCTATTTGCTATAATTGATTCAAGAAATTTCCCCTCTACTGACGTCAAACTGATCGGCCGGTAATTTGACGCTGATGCTCTGTCTCCCTTTTTGAATATGGGTACTACATTTGCCTGTTTCCACAAGTCTGGCACAACTCCCGTGTCTAATGATTTTGTAAATAAATTTACGAGGGGTCCACTAATCTGTTCCTTACACTCTTTCAAAACTCGATGGAAAATTTAATCCGGCCCTGGGGATTTTGTCTTCTTTAATTTATTTATCTTCTTAAGAATATCCTCTTTTCTGATAGTGATATTCTTTAATTTCTCTTCTTCATTTCCTCTAAATATCAGTTCCACCTCTGGAATTTCTTCGTGAATTTCTTCTGTGAAAACTGATAAAAAGTAGCTGTTCAATGCTTTGCTTATTTCCCCACTATCATCGATCACTTCCCTTCGCTCTGACTTTAAAGGTCCCACTTTGTCCTTGACCTTTGTCCTATATACCTGGAAAAATCCCTTGGGATTCGACTTGGATTCTCTTGCTATCCTAATTTCGTAGTCAAATTAAGTCAGGTCAAAAACATGGGACCCACTAAATATCTATCCTACATCTAGCTCTAAGGTTTTCAAAGCATTTTTAACCGTAGGCCACTGACAAATAAATTTATGTAACATATTATCAGTTTTGTACCGACCATTACTAAGGTTTATAGAATTTAATTCCCTAATCAAACTTGCTTCAACCAGAAGTCTTTCTGTGACACATGATGATTTATACACACTTCTAAGCTGTTTTTTTCCACTGTTCTATTATTGTACTTATGTAGTTTAATTTTGAGTTGTAATGCTTTCCTAGTCTGTCCTACATAATTTCCATTACAGTTGCTACATAGAATGCAGTAAACACTTCCATTTACATACAAGGTTGGGCTATTTCTTATTAATATATTGGTAATAGTTAAGTCATACATGAAAGCAACATATATATATATATATATATATATATATATATATATATATATATATATATATATATATATATATATATATATATATATATATATATATATATATATATATATATATATATATATATATATTACCCACTCATCATACTGTACTTTCGCTTCGATTTGTGATTGTATTAGGCGTTGTTATTCTTTTAAAACTGTTCTCTCTTTTCAATTTAGTGGAATTATATCCAAGCTTTCTTACATCCATACATATTACCGTCTGCTGTCAGTGTCCAAGATTTCGTTTGCATCATTTAGTGTTAATCCACTGAGATATCACATATTCATTAATTTAATTTATCACCACATTACCTCAATGATGATATATATTTTCTGTATATTTTATCTGCACCAAAAAAGAGAACAATTGCCTTTTAAAACTACTCTAATGATATTTAAAAGAAATAATTATTTTTCATTCTGATGACGTACTGCTCATTGTCCCGTTGTGTTACCCTGTTGTTCAAAATTCCTTTATTTCAGGGAATGTTTGTGATTCTTGTCGGAGGAGAAGCTCTTGGTCTCTTTGTCTTGTTTTGTGAGATCCTCAACTCCAAGTTTCACTAGCTATTGATCTTTTAGGGATAACCTTACAAATGATAAACCATGTATGAACACCACCTAGCATCTTGTTTTATGTTTTTCTGTTTTATATAAATTGATCTTTACCTTAAGCCGAGTAAACAATGTGTATTTTCTCGAAACAAAGCTAATAAAGTACTTGGGTTCATACAAAGGAGTGTTAGTTTTTAAGACTAGCAAGGTCATCCTAAGACTATATCTTGGGCTTGTGAGACCTCACTTGGATTACGCAGTTCAATTCTGGTCACCGTATTACAGAATGGATATAGAATCCTTGGAAAGAATTCCGAGGAGAATGACAAGGCTATTCCCGGGCATTAGGAACCTTGAGTACAGAGACAGGTTAAAGCATCTTAATTTGCACTCCCTCGAGAGACGTAGAGTGAGGGGCGATATGATAGAGGTGTATAAATGGAAGTCAGGGCTGAACAAAGGGGACATTACAAAGGTACTCAAACTATCCAACCAGGAGCGAACTCGTAACAATGGTTTTAAATTAGACAAATTTAGATTTAGGCGCGAAATAGTAAACACTGGTTTAGTAACAGAGTAGTGGATGAATGGAACAGGTTACCAAATATCATTATAAACTCGAATACGCTAGATAGCTTCAAACATAGGTTGGATGCTCATATGAGTAATAAGGGTTGGGTGTAAATGGGACTGCCAGTATGGGCCAATAGGCCTGCTGCAGTTTCCTCCATTCTTATGTTCTTAATACTACAGACAAAAATACAGTAATAAGTTAAACTTGTTATTTGTACTCTTTTGCTTATATAGTTGAAACTTTATGTGATTAAATGTTTCTGCTTGAACTGTTGTTTTACTCATATCAATTACCCACACACAGTACCCATATCATCAGTTTACGTTCAGTAAACATTCTCTAATGTAAATGCTACAGCAACTATACTTGAAGTTAATCCCATGTCCTGTTACATTTCAAGTTTAGATAACTTTGTTTAAAATTATACTTGAAATTTCAAAATAAGACTTAAATTTCGTTGGATTTTAAACTTTTCACATAAAAGACAAATATGAACTCAACTCGTATTCCAAACATTTTCATCAAATGACACACAAGTTATCATCAATATCATCTAATTATTTATACGTACAAAGTTGTAATATTCATTGGCAACACATGCAATAAGAAATGTTGGTAAATGTAAATTACAATTAAATTGCACAAACATTACAGATAACTTCGTACTCCGTGGAATGGATTATTCTGGCCAACTACATAAAACTCATTCTTTTAGTCGTCCAACAGTAGGCCGATGGATTTACCTTCGACAGCGTGCAATGCGTACTTCACCAAAGCAACATAAAATTGGATTATACACCAGCACGTTCATTATGAGGTTTAACTGATAATAAAGAAAATAAAAGAAAAAACTTCACATATCAAAGCTGGCGCCATCGTGTCATATTTAAAGCTTTAGCTGTAAAATACTATTGTGAACGCAATTTCCTTCACACTGACATCTAGGTTATATAGTACTGTTTGACATTGATGTCACACATAAGAACATAAGAAGAACATAAGAAAATAAGGAGTCAGCAATAGGCCGGTTAGCCTGTGCATGGCAGCTCCTGTCGAGAGTTACTACCACTCTCTATCATCCATGAATCTATCTAGCCTCCTTTCAAAACTTTCCAGCATTCCAGCACTTACTACAAAGTTGCTAAGCTTGTTCCACTCGTCCACCACCCTAATTGTGAACCAGTTCCTTCCTCTCTCCTTCCTAAACCTAAACTTATCCAACTTCAATCCGTTGTTCCAAGTCCTATCCTGCTCGAATATCATACGACCTTTGTCTATATCCTCTTTATTGATTCCTTTCAACCACTTAAATACTTCTATCATATTTCCCCACACTCTTCGTCTTTCTAGGGAATGCAAGTTTAGTTTCTTTAACCTATCTTGATTTAGAACGTTTCTAATTCCCGGAATCATTTTCGTCAATCTTTGCTGCACCGACTCCAGTGAATTGATATCCATTCTATAATAAGGGCACCAGAACTGAACCGCATAATCGAAGTGCGGCCTGACTAGCGCAAGATATAGTTGCAATAAGACCTCTGCACTCTTATTACTTACACTTCTAGATATAAAACCTAATAATCTGTTTGCCTTATTTAAGAGGGGTCCGCTAATCTGTTCCCTACACTCTCTCAAGACTCAAGGGAAAATTTCTTCTGGCCCTGGGGATTTTGTCTTCTTTAATTTATTTATCCTCTTAAGAACATCCTCTTTTCTGATAGTGATATTCTTAAATTTCTCTTCTTCATTTCCCCTAAATATCAGTTCCACCTCTGGAATTTACTCATGAATTTCTTTTGTGAAAACTGATAAAAAGTAGCTGTTCAATGCTTTGCTTATTTCTTCACTGGCATAGATCACTTCCCCCCTCCCTGACTTTAAAGGCCCAACTTTGTCCTTGACCTTTGTTCGATATTCCTGAAAAAACCCTTGGGATTCGCCTTGGATTCTCTTGCTATCCTGATTTAATAGTCTCTCTTTGCCTTCCTTATATTTGTCTTCAAATCCGAGATAGTTCATTATACCTATTTCTGAGCTGCTCCTCCCCTCCCTTTAATTTCTTATGAATTCCTTTCTTTATTCCTATGTCATGTTTAAGTTTTCTGATCATCCACCTTGGCTCATTCTTATTTGACCTAATTTTTCTGTATGGTATAATTTTTTCTTGTTCTTTACGTAGTATACGAGTGAATATATTATAGTTATGATCAATTGTGGTGTCACATGTGACCTCACCCGTTCCTACCGGGGACTGACCTGACTGTTCCCAGGCGACCTCACCTAGGCACCTTCCTAACCCCTGATATTCTGCCAGTCGAAAGTTTGGGACTCTGACCATATTGTCATTGTTTTTCGTTTCCCAATTTAGGGTGAACCTGATTTCTCTGTGATCACTGTTACCTAGTTCTTCCCCTACTGTGATATCTCTGATAATATTTTCTTTATTTGTTAATACTAGGTCTAATATATTGTCACCTATATTAAGTTCTGTAATTAGTTGTTTCAAAAAATTGTCCTATACTGCGTCTAGGAAGTCTTCAGATTCAAAGTCACCTACAATGTTGTCCAAGTCAATATTTCTGAAGTTGAAATCCCCCATAATGCAGAGGTTGTTATATTTTTCTGCCCTACTCATTTCCTGCCATATGGGCTGAGCTGCTTCTTTCCCAAGACTTGGGGGCCTGTAAATCATTCCCATAATTAGTTTTTCTCATCCTTCCGTAATTTCTACCCATACAGACTCGGTTCCTATTTCACCCATTATTGAATTATTAATACAACATTTTAATGAGTCCCTGACGAAGGGTGCGACCCATCCCTCCTTCCTACCTTCCCTGTCCTTGTGAAAATGGTTGTACCCTTCTATGTGGTACTCTGATAAAACAAATTTTGCTCGCCAGATTTATCCAAGTTTTGGTGATTGCTATGACGTCTACATTCTCGGTACATACAACCGCTCTCAACAAGTCTATTTTATTTCAAACGCTCGTACTATTTGTATAGTATACATTTAATCCTACCTTTCCCTGGTCCTTTTTTGCCCCTTGTCCTGAGCAACCAATTTTACTTCCCGGGACCTGCTTGCTTTTTGACTCCCACTTACCCCGATCTCTCTCTACTGGCGAAACCCCCCCTTTGGAGTGACAATTTCACGCTCCAGGGATGCAGACAACGTCTTTACCCCTGCACGAGACAATTGTACTTTGTCACGACTGTAGTCGTTGCCATAGAATGGTAACCAGTTATCAATGAATGCTCAACCATTGTTCGCACAATTTTTTTCCAGTCTGCAATTTATAGCAATTGCCCTGTACAGCCATTCACGACCAACCCTTCTTCTAGGCAAGACACCACATACTATCGGGATCCCTCCCCTATCTCTATCCTTCCCCAGCGCCTCCCTATACCTCTTAAAAAGTTCCTCACTCCTAACCTTTCCTATGTCGTTACCTCCCACACTAAGCCACACTACTGGATTGGTACCCTCCCCTGACAAATCCCTACCTATCCTCTCAGCTACATGTCCTATCCCAGCCCCAGGAAAACACACCCTAGTCCTACGTTTCCTATCTCTTGCACAAAAAGTCTTATCTAAGAACCTCACCTGGCTGTCCCCACGACCAACTACCCGCCCACACGTATGTGGGAGTGGCATCTGGGCGACCAAGAGGTAGTGGTGAGGAGGACAAACAAAGCATGAGCTGTTTGCCTATTACCCTCGATAATAAATTAAATTAATTACTGTTACAATTATTTTCTTACTCATTAAATGACGCAGAATAAATTACACCAAAATATAACAGCTGTCAGCATTTGATCTACATATTTCTATTGAGATGTTTGTCCTCTGTTTCGACATTGCCTTCGTTGCTGCAGAGCTCTTGCTATTCATCTCGAATCAAATTTTTGTAATATCTGCAAATGATGAACACTGCTATTTCAGATTGGTTTGCATCTATAAACACTTCTTTCCAACACATATTTTGTCGAAACCACAAAAAAATAATGATAATATCAAAATTAAATTATTTTATCAGATGGTTAGTTTTATTTGTTCCTAGGTGGAAATTTTGTCTAGAAAGTGTCATCTAGCGTATTATCCTAGAGAGTTCTGTCTCAGAATTTTCAATTGTTGATGCTACACTGTAAATGCTGATCTAGTTACGTGCTTAGACATTTGTTGTTAAAGGCCAGTAATAATATTATAGCAAAAACAAATGTATAACATGATAAAAACAGAAACTAGTAACTTGTAGGAAAGAACCTGAGTCCGAAGCATTCGCTGGTGACGTTAAATAGGGAACCGGGTCCGGGAGGAGAGAAGGGTGATGGTCTTGGAGTGGGTGAAGAGGGTAGGAGTGGAGGTGAGCTGGAGGAATTGTGTGGCTAGCAAGACTGGATTTTTTTATTATTTAGAAGCATATAACAAGTTAATCTCTCGCTTAATACTATGCTTCACACATTCTGGCTGTGAACTAATGTCTAGTCAATCTTGCTTTGTGCAAACACTATCACCAGAACAGATCCCCACACAAACCATATTCACACCACACTCATGATACAGTGGGTGCCCATCCTCTCCAGCTAGTGCAGTCTGCCAA